CTTTCCATGCGACCCACCCCTGCAGCACTCTCCCAACATGTATCCCGTGCCTACCGTCCATCCCCTTGGAGTCAGAAGCTGGGGGTCCCTCATTCTTCTACATATCATGGGATTCCACAGTGATCAGTTTGCCTTATAAATAGTGTTTTCCTATACGCTCATCCAAGCATTGCAGTTGTTTTGGTAAGATTCCCAGTGACTTTAGGTAAAGTGTTTTTTTTTTTTTTTTCCCTCTGAAACTCCAAAGAAATATTTTGTGATTTTTAAAAAATAAAATAAAACGTACAAATGTGTAGCTTTAATGAAAACGATGACCAGTATACTCGTGAACTGTTTGTTTCGAGACCAAAGCCTTATGCATCACACTATGCAGCTGCTCCCTGCCTCGCTGTTACAGCGGTATTGAGTGTGCTGGCTCGTTTTACCGCGCGGGTCGCGGTTTCCACCTGACAACTTGGTGACGACAGCTTATACCCGAACATATTTTATCCCACTCCAGCTTTTGTGCTTTAATTAAAAAATAAACAGTAGGTTCCTTTTCCTGTCAGTACACATTGGCCAGCAGTATTGGAGGATTGGAAAAGTTGGTTGTACCTTTGAACTGAGTCTAGGCCTAGTGATAAATGAATGCCTATGTATTAAGGAGTAGCTGGTCATAGTTGCCTTCTATGCAAGCAGAAAACACTAGTTAGTCTGCCTCAGGCAGACAATGGACTTATCATTCCATGGTGTTTGGTGTCTTGTCTTACACTTGAATCAGCATGCATGCTGCGTCTCGGCTATTACTCCGAAGCAATTACCACAGACATCACTGATTCATTTGCAGATGCTCATCGTGAACAGAAACTTTATACCTGTTATGTAAAATATATATATATATATATATATATATATATATATATATGTATATGTATATATGTATATGTATATATGTATATGTATATATGTATATGTATATATGTATATATGTATATGTATATGTATATATGTATATGTATATATGTGTGAAGCTTTTTTTTGTTGACACATTGTAATACATGTGATGCTGATTGTTGTACCCTAACAGACTGAATATTTTCAGTTGTAAATGTATTTCAGACAGTACTTGTTTTACAAGATATTAAGCTGGACAGTTTTCAGATATTGTCCAACTTATTTTGAATTTGTATAAAAAATGTAATGTTTAAAAGCCGTGGCCATGGGCGCAATGAGAACTGACTTTGTACTATTAAAATAGTATTTTCATCTGTTTTTATTTGTTTGGTGCCTATGCGCTTTTGTACACTCTCAGCAGGTTCGTTATGGCTGCGTGAGGAAAGGAGGAGAACCATGTCCTTTTAAGTTACTCTAATTTGTTTCATTGTAGTACGTGTGAAACACTACTTGAACAATTTATAGATTTTAAACAGAATTTAATTCACTAATTGTCCTTGGCTATGTATATAAAGTGTATTTTGCTGCTCTTTTGCGCACAATATAGGAGGAAAAAGTTAAGGTCTTGTTTTTTTATCTATACAGTGCCATGAAGAGCACAAGCATGTTTCTCAGATATAAAGATGGAAACGTCTAATTGTGGTAATGCTGCCACAGTTTGTAACACTGGAGCTTAATAAAAATGCAAATAATCAAACTTATGCGTTTGTTTTTATCGTACTGTGTCAGTTCTTTGTATAGAAGATGTTGATTAGACTGTTAAAGTATTGTAAATCCCCAAAAAAACTTTAATGTTTGTTTGTGTATTTATTTAGCTAGGTTTTTGTAATTTCACGCTTGTGGTTAATTATGCTACACACACGCCAAGAACATGCTATGTGAATTGGAGTTGCCATATTATCCGTAGGTGTGCATGGTGTTCGTACCCTGCGGTTGGATGCACCCTTATCCTGGGTTGTTCCCTGCCTTGCGCTAGTATCTTCTGGGATAGGCTCCAGGTTCTGGACCCCAGCAACCCTACATAAGAAAGTGGGTATGGAAATAATTCAACAACTATCCCCTGTATCCCCTATAAGACGGTGCAAGTAAATAGGCTACAATCAGACAAATGATCAAGTGTGGTAAGTCTTGAAGGGGAAAAGGGAAGGATTAACAGCGTCCCAAAAAAAAGCGTAGTGTACAGCGTTGACAATTCTTGACAATTCTTACGCATCTGGTGTGACACTCCTACGACATGTATATTGTTTCGTTATCACAGTTGGGTAATTCAGGTCCAGAGAGTAAAAGTACAGACCGGGATTTTGTTTCAACCAATCAGTTGAGCATAAAGAGTCACAGTAACAGAGTACTCAACTGTTTGGTTGAAAAAAAATTCCGGTCTGGACATTCAGGTCCACTCTGGACCTGAATTACCAAACTGTTCGTTGTCCACTTGAAATTAGCTACGTCAAAAACGTCGGGGTAGTTTGCAAACCCTACAGACTATTTACAAGGTAATAAAACGTTTACATCCATGTAAATGTGTATGCAGACTTGTCTCAAATTGGATATCTCATTCTAGCCAGCTGAATAAAGTTGGCAACCCTGAATGTATCTGTTTAAGCTACGCGAAACCAAAGATTGGCCATGCAATCAGAAATTCGCCGTAACATCATTCTCCATATGATGTTATTTTAAAAAGTCCCACTACAAATATAGCCTATTTATTACTGATTACAAATTTGGGGGTTGGAACCTCATAAGACGGTACCGAAGGTGGCTGCCTTTCACAATTGATCGACAGTGACCATTCACTTTTGGCTGTGGGACTATGATTGTATCAGAATTATTTGCAAATGTGTATGTAGAGTTGTGTGACTATCTCAATCCATGTGTGCGTAATCAGATTTGTAAATATGTAACAAAATCTCTGAATTTGTAATTTTCAAGTGTACTGAGATTTGTAAGCGTGTACACAAATCTGTAAATGCGTGCAAAGATCTGTAAATGCGCATATAGTACTAATGGCTAAAAAGTCTAAGTATATAGCCTAATAAATACAGGCAAGTCATCAGTTACACTTCAGGCAGACACTCATGAAGTGAAAAAGAAAACGATTACTTATTTTAAGTAGTTGGATCTCGTGAACAAAATGTTACAATGAATTTATTTATGGTTGGTTTTCTTGGTCAATAAAATATTGCTTTGTGCAATTAAAGTATATGTTACCTCCATACAAAAAAACCATAGTCCCACTTTTGCAGAAGAGCTGTCCCACTTTACCTGAACAAGCTCATCAAGAAATGTTTTATCTCAATGTTTTATCCCATTTAACTCTTAAATATTACATAGATTGTTTAAATGTCCACTCAAAACCTTTTAAGGAGACATGCAGCTAATAGAAAAAAAACAATTTGAGCAAATGGCTTTCATGAGATTTTTTTCTAAATCATTTACCAAAGTGTCCCACTTTTGCATAATTCACCCTACAACTTAAAAAGGTCTTTCAATACTAAGATATACCTACACTAATACTTCCTATTCAGGGGAAAACGGTTCAATCTGTAATGCATTATATTGGTTAACATATCATAATATTTCGACTTAATATCATCACCTCTGAATTTCAAAATTTCTGAAAATTTCAACTTAGAGGTTTATTATTTTGTCTGATATGCTGAATTATATGTCTGAACGCAAAATTAAAGTGTGTTGGTAAGGATGTGCGTTCAAAAGCCTAGATAATGGTTATGTTAATCGAAACACATAGTGTCAGAAATCCCGGTTAAAAATACAGCTCTACTCCGGCCCTGACTACTTTGCTCATTTTAACTTAATTTCATTCGGTATATAATTCAGCATGTACTTCATATAATTCAGACATATCATTCAGAATTCCGTGTCGAGAGGAATTCTGTCTCATGGTTTATATCCTGACAACGTCCCACACTTTGGCCCTCACAAGATTGACAATGGGACAGCGGAAAGCCCTAAGCCCTCAAATCCTCCACCGTACAGACAAATCTCCACACGCATCTGCAGATCTGACACGGCAGAAGTGTAGCAAGAATCACGTGTAAAAAGGCAGCCAATTGAGAGGTCCCATCACTCTGCGCTGTAGCCCCTTTTTTAGCCTTTTAAGTCTAAAATAATCTTCCTTCAGTCAATCAATCAAGCGATCAATCAATCAATAATTAAGTCAAGCCCCAGGTAAACTTGACTTAGCCCCTTATTTTTCAATAGCTATAGAAACGCTCCTGGTTGTAACTGGTGACTTGCCTGTACTTACAGCTCTTGGAGCAACATACTTGGACTTTTAGCCTTTAATACCTATGTACGCATTTACAGATTTGTCTACACACGTACAAATCTCAGTACACATGCAAATCTCATAAATTTAGAGATTCTTTTTCAGGTTTGCGAATCTGATTAGGCACACGGATTCTGAATACACGTTTGCAAATCTCAGTACGCATTTACAAATTATTTTACACATTTACAAATCTGGTTACGCACACGCGGATTGAGATACAGTCACACTACTCTCCATACACATTTGCAAATATTTTTGCTATAATAATAGCTCCACAGCAACCTGAACGCGGTGAGGTGTGAATGGAGCATTATCGAGTGGTGGTTTTTGTAATATTTGCCCAATTTTTAGTTTTGTGGGTAAAGAACGAAAATGGATTTTGATCACTGGACCCTTACGGAGGTACAAACACCAATGTCAGCATATTTGGAGGCAGGTACTGTCCTATACATGTAAAAGGTATATGTCGCCTGGCAGCCATTATGAAACATCATGCATTAGTGTCATTTGTAATTTATTTCGTTCGGAAAATAATTTAAAATTGATATAACCTTTTATATTTTTATAAAGTTAATATTTTTAAACGATTTCCCCTTGAAATTAACAAAGTTTTAGCACGCTTAATGTGAAAAAGCAACTTCCGTACTTGAGAAGGAAATTATTTGAAAAGGATGTAAAAAGGTTTATTTAGAAACAGTTTGTTTAGAAACTGTTCT